TTGGGATGTTGTCTGTTCCGTTTCTGTTTATAGACGCCTTACTCTTAGGTTTATTAGATGGAGTAGGGGTTGTTGCTCTAAGTGATAACAGTATGGAAGTGCACCAGTTAAGGATAGGAAAGTTAATGGTATCAAAGGACAGCTTTTGGAAAAACGATCAATTATTGTTGAGGGCAGAGATTGGAGTGGCAGAAAAGTGTTCAGGCATTGGTTGATGGCAAAGCATATAAGAGCATGATTAAGGACACGATGGAAGTCCTGAAGGCTAGGCTTAAGTGTTTCTTACGTTCATATGAAACTGGAGAAGTAGACAATGAACCCACTTCTCCGGAGGGATGCTAGACGTCCGTGGTCTGCCCAAAATGCATGAGTAGAGGTAGCGTATTGTACGAAAATCGCGATTTATTTCTACCCAAATAAAGCACATTTCCTGTACTTGACCTTCTTTTAAAAAAGGCTACTTACAATTTTGTAAAGTTAATGGATGAATAGCCGACAGAAAATGGTGATTTGCTTGTAAGTTTTGACGTAATGCCTGTTTTCAATAATATTCCGAACAACACAGGACAACTTAGAAGTTGTTTGACCTTGTTTTCGCAACTCGGTAATGTTGGTAGGAAGACTTAGAGAAACTCACCAAGTCCGGAGTCCATTGTATGCATCATCGTTTCCAGAGTAGGACCATGGACGTGGTACATTCCCAGACGTTTCAAAGAGACAAGTGAAGCCAATCCTCTGACCAAACGTGTGCTAAACAATTGTGATATCTCCCCATCTGCCCTGGGCTATTCACATTTCCCATATCCTCCTAGCACACCTTCACTGTCACCATTTTTACCGTGCCTATTTCGATGCAGTATGGTGTGTTCCTTCGAGTGGCATTCATAAAAACCCTTCACACTCCACATTGTCGTTATCACAACCTTCACCCTTGTGCCGGAAATGTTGACCAGAGTTTGTCATTTTACGACAACTTCTATACAACGAAAGGAGACTGCAACCACACAAAAGGCCACACCATCTTGGTCTGTATACCTTCGAGGGCAACTTAGACTTTAGAGTTAACGCTAACGATAGATTCAGTCATCAGATTGACAACTATTACTATGAATAGTATGTATTTTACCTACAATGATAAGTTGTATGAGGAGGAATAAGGCTTATATTCGGAGTTGTGTATAGCTTGTTTTTTAGCCAACAACGGCATGGCTCAGTTGGAGGTCCGATTGTTCAAAAAGTCACTCCCAGTTGCAAAGTTATT